CGCTGGTGGCCTTTTCTGGGTCATGGACGACGGAGGCAGAGCCCGGATTTTCTGCTCTCTCCCAGGGCGTGTATATGAATTATTTATAATCTGGTAGTAATACTAGTTCTGCCACTCCACACATCGCTGCCTTTTCCCCAGATCTAAATTTTAAGGGAAGGAAAAATGGTACAAAGCAAAAAAAAAAAAAAAAAATTGAATTAAGCCTGAAGGGGGAAGAAATCCATCAGCCCTCAAGCTGGAGAAGAGGGTTGTGGAGACCTCCTCTTCTCCCTGCCTTTGAAGCACGTGGGAAGCGGTGCCAGAGCCCTTCCCTGCCTGGAAGGTGGCTGCCGGGTGTGCTGGGGTGGCCATTTGAGTGACTCAGCCCTGTCACCGAACTGGGGAATTTATTCTTTGAAATGTGCCCCGTTCTGCCCAGATATTCCCTTTTTTCCACCCCCCGCTGTGGTTTATCCCCTCCAGCGGGAGCCGAGACTGGTGCAGGAGCCCTTGCAGGACCCCTCGGCTCAGCCGTGGCCCCGTAGGGTTTTCAGCAGCGGGAAGCAGGGATGCAGCGCCCTGTCCTCTGCTGGATGCTTTTCTTCATCCCTCAGATCCCTACACTTGCAAATTTTAAGCAGCTGCTCTTCATAGACTCACCAGAAACGTCAAAATTCAGTTTTCTGGCTCAGGGTGAAGCAGGGAGAGGTGGTGCCCCAGCCGGTAACACCTTTTTTTTGTTTTCTCCCCTCCAGGTTTCGAGTAAGAAGAGCTTGAGTTTGAAGGAGCTGACGGAGGAGCCCGACGCTGTGTCACTGGTGAGGGTCAGGGCAGCTCTGCGAGAGGGAAGGACCCCCGTGAACTCGTGCTGTGGGCAGGAGAGCATCCGCCTGGCCCCCTTGGTGGGTTTAACGCCTTCCCGGCACGCTGAGGTTTGGTCGGCAGCCACCTGCAGGGTGCAGAGTCGGTCCTCTCCCCTCGCTGCCGAGAAAGGTTGCACGAGGATGCGGCCATCACCTTCGTAGCTCGTCCTCTGGGATCCTCGTACCCCGATTTGGCAGAAACAGCCAGGTCAAGAGGACGATTTGGACAGCCCGTGGCAGAGCACAAGCCGATGACCCGGCCGGTTGGTCTTGGGGGTCCATTTACAGACCAAAAAACTTCCGAGCAATGTGCAAAATGCTGCTGCTCCGCTCCCATTGCCTGGTGCTGTTCGCAGCTGTGAACGTGGATAACAGGCTAGAAATGTGGTTGAATTATCCAAAGACCCATGGATTGAGCGGGATGGCTTGTAGCCAGGAGGCTGGAGAGGGAAAAGGCTGCT